CAACCCCGCCGCCCGATGTTGCTGCTCCAGCTACCAAGAAGGATAAGTCGGAGAAGGTCGCGAGGAAGGGCCCTGCGGCTGGAACTGGCCATGAGGGCTATGGGCGCCTTGGCAGCATCCGGCGCCGGAGTAGCGGTGTCCTAAGCGGGAGCACCACCCGTGGCAGCCCCGTGTTTGGATCTTCTTCCCAAGACAACATTTCGAACAGACCGGAATTCACGGACCCATTCCTAAGGGATCGGATGAATCCCGTCATCATTTCTGGAGGCGAGATTATCGAGAACAGAAACACCAGCAGCGAATTTAGCCGTTCCGAGAGCAACACGAGCTTCATCAGCCATTCCCGTCAGCGCAGTAATGATTCCTCGAAGTTTAGCTCGGAGGTTTCGACGACGTCCAATGCTCAGGAGGGTGCACGGAATACCCTGTGGCCTTCCGCTTTCCCCAAGCGACCGCCGGTGAGCTCTCAAAGTCGAACTCGTAGGCCATCCGAGAGCAGCGACGATGAAGGTATTATCATGAAGCGAACCCTTGCTTTTAGGAGATCTCAGCAAAAGCTGCGAACGTCACCCGAGCAAACGCCCATGAGGCTTCCGAAGCCCATCAACACGAGAGGCATCGCACCATCGCCGCTCACAAGCGTAGACACAACCAACATCCTCACGGATGACTCTACCTTGGAGCTTCAAAAGGAGACCTCTCGAGGGAGCAAATTGAATCTGCCGCAACAGTCAAAGAAGCTGACGAAGAGGGCGAAATCGCCGCGCAAATGGAACCTCTTCAGTCGGTCGCAGAACCAGGCTACTGCCGCCTCCAAGGAGTCCAAGGTCGAATCTGTTGCCGCCACGGTCAAGGTGGTGCAGACCAAGCACGTGCCGTTTTATGCCATGATGGACTCATCTGAGCAGGAGGATGCTGGCGATATGGATCTTATGGATGTGCTTCGCAGCGCAGAAGTCTACGACCAACCGTCGCCACGATCCCAGGGGGGTTTTACTGGTCATCAGAGACGGCCATCAATTACGAAGACACCGGAGCCCCCACCATCCATTAGCAGCTCGGCTGCTCGATCTTACCAATCGCCGCCGCCGCCGCAACAGCAGCGACCTCGACCACGTGTTGTCTCCCCTCAGAAGGAGGCGCCAGTTCGGCAGGCCACCAAGATATCGGCAGCTCCTACTCCGGCGAAGCAGAGTCGGCTTCCACAGGTCGGCCGGATTCCAAAGGTTGTTAGCTCGCGGCCCGAGCAGCAGGTTTCGCCGAAGAGTTTCTCACGCCCCTTCAACCGGGCTAGCTTCCAATCGCCGCCGAAGCGGCTCTCGAACTCGGCTAACCGAGATTCGTCCGGCACCGGAGGCTCGAGTAGCAACCCGATGAGAGTGCCGTTCCTTACTCCGGAACTCACGCAGCAGGAATCGACAGTCACTAGCGGGTCTCTAGAAATGACTCCCGATACTATCGGAATCGGGATTGGAAAGGAGTTCCTGTCTTTCTCGCCGCGCAAGGATTCTGTTGCCACTACTACGTCTTCGTCAAGCTGCTGCTCGGCAATTTACACAATGGCGGATACTACTACTGCCATTATTCCTTCCCCGAGTGCACCGCTGGCTGAGGATGAAGTTTGGGACGAGTACAATGACTTGATCGGCGATGTTTCTTTTAAAGGTCTTGCATCTGCCATAAGCTTGCCCAAGACCACCACGACATTGCCAATCAAGTATCGAGGTCGAGGTAATAGCAAGACCTCGGTGCCGGAATCCCCAACCATTATCATCAAGGCTCCAAAGGAGCCAGACGAGCCTAAACCAGCAGGAAAAGCTGAGCAGCGACTGGAAGTCGCATCTAGTGTCTGCAGCTGTGACGATGACGATGATGACGACAATCAACTCGACGTCCCCGTTATTGAAGCCGCTAGTCCAACCACACCCTTTTCCGTTTCCAAGTTTGTTGCCGGCTACGGAGACCGAAATGATACAGCGGAATTGGACACTGCGAATGCTACGAAGCCCCCAGAGGCCACCGCGACCACAGCGACATCTGAGCGTGTCAGCGGGTCCTCCTTTCCCAAATCCGGGAGGTCGTCCAACAGCAGTAGCTGCAGCAAGGCGACTTCAGAGGAAGAGGACACACCCCTTGCTCAGGTCAATCTCCGCGTAGGATCTATGACGGTCAGCAAGTGGCTTACCTTTGGCCATGTCCTCTTCAGTCCTGCTCGGGAGGAGCTGATGCTCGAGGGGGCAGCGTCTCGTGATAACAACTCGATCCTCGTCATCGACGGACTTGGTAACGATGACTGGTCTTTTTACGCCGCTGAGACGTATCCGGGAGCGACCTTCTTCAACCTCTCCCCCCGGGCGCCCATTCCTGAGGATCGGCGTGCGTCGACAACATTCCCGCTAAGTCCGGCCAACCATTACCAAATTCAGTACAACTCGCATCTGGCCAAGTTCCCCTTCGGGCGCGAGACGTTTACTTCAGTGGTTTTTCGATTCCCACAGGCAGCTCCCGAGTCGCACTACAGGAACATCATCTCTGAAGCGCACCGCGTCCTTAAGCCCGGCGGCTACATCGAACTGTCGATCCTCGACGTCGACCTTAACAACATGGGCAATCGGGGCCGGCGCACGATTCGGCGACTCAAGGAACGGATCCACGCGAGGAACGCCGACGTGAACCTCGCGTCGACGGCTGATTTGATGATTCGGTTGCTCGGTAGGAAGCACTTTTCCGATATCAAGACGTGCCGTGTCGGGGTTCCTGTGGCTAGTTCTATCGCGCGAGCCGATGATGCTTCCAAATTGGCAGGCGAAGGCTCTTCTTCTTCCCCGTCAAAATCGAAGGATAAAGGCAAGGGTAAAGCCAAAGCGATTGGTGAGCAGCGCAGCCTCGCGGAGATGATGAATGACGATAGCGAGATGGCGGACGAGAGCATCGCCAAGATGGTCAGCAAGGTTGGTCGGTGGTGGTACTCGCGGTGCTATGAGAGCGCGGCGGCACCGGTGGTATCCGGTATGGCAGGGTCGAAGAAGAAGACCATCTGGAGTGACAAAGCTTTGATGGAGGAGTGCGAAGAGCTGGGAACGAGTTTGAAGTTGACGGTGTTGCATGCGAGGGTTCCCGAGAAGGGGATCCGGGTTGCGAGCATTTAGCCCATGAGAGGGTTTCTTCTTATTCTCTTTTATTCCTTACTCTTCCTTTACGATATTACGGGGAGTCGAGGTTTTCGATTTATCTTTGCTTTGCCGTCTTTTCAGCAATTTCTGTCCAAAGATATCCATACAGCGCGAGCATTTATTACGATATTACGCATCGGTTCGTGGCGCGGCTCTCGCGGGTCATTTACGCCCGAACTTTGTGGCATGTGTCCAACGGCTTTTACGTGGGCACACAACATGGAGACGCGATCTTGTCGTCGGAAGCGAAAACAGAACGGCGACGGCGCACCGGAGACGTTTCTCGGCTGACCTTATCTCTACTCTTACACCTGGCCTTGTTAGAGTAGGGGGAGATTTGGTTGGTCTGAGAGACGGGGATATAATCCGAAGCGGTTTTCATTTACTGGGGACTTGTCATTACCATTGCGATGGAGGGAGTCTGTGCCAGGCGCACTTTGCATCAATTCATTTTGAGAAAGGGGGGTTGGGCAGAGGGAGGAAAGGCACAGGTATAATCGCAACTTATTAGGGTCACTTTGAGATGAGGGAGGAGGCTACGGATGATTGATGACCAAAACATGATGGGAACTGGATTTCTTTATATTGGATTTGGATTCATGCATTCTGGGGGGGATTCTATTCTAGCGGCGCCCTTTTTGGTCTTTTTTACGATACAGAGCGAGCACTCTTTTTTCTTGTTCGGGGAGGAATAACATCGGGACGGGGAATGGGAGATTTTGGAGAGGAGGGTGAATGAGATATGACGAACTGAAACTTGTTTATAGATACCCAATGAATCAATCGTTTTTCGCAAAGATGAACCGAATCGAGAAACAAATTTGTACCGATCGATGTGCTGTGTATAGACAATACCTTGGCTTATTGTTCAGACTGAGGACTGGCGTCAACGATAACCCAGTCCTCGTCGATATCGGGAGGCGTTGTAACGACGGAGTCGTCCGTAGGCTGGTTCCTGGGAACGATAACCCCGGAATCGTCATCCTCAGTCTCGTCTTCTCTTGGGACGAGCACCCAATCGTCCGTGACATCGGTTTCGGAAACGAAAACCCAGCTGAAATCGCCGTCCTCAGTCTGGCGGGTCTGGTCGGTCTGGTCGGTCTGGTCGGATTGGGCCGCGACAACGACCCGCCCTTCATTGATCTCAGTGACTCCTTCGTCTTCCTCCTTCGCCTTTTCGACGGGGTCTTCCGATGAGGTGCCGGACTGCTGAGGAGATTGGGTGGTATTTCGCGAGGTGGAGATGATGAGGCCGAGGGGGTTGATCCGGCGGAGGAGGCGGACAGAGATGTAAAAGGTGCGCTTGGGAGGCTTAGCGGAGGACGAGTCTTGAGTGGAGGACATCGTAAATGTTGAGATTGGGGGGGATGGTTTGGAGTGGTGTTTGGTTAGGGTGTTTGGGCCTTGGGAAGATGTGAGTTGTTTGGTTTGGATGAGTGTGGGTGGTGATGTTGATTCATTATATAGACGTTTGGGATCCTGGGCTCAATGGAGGAGACGCGATGATGACAGTCCCTTGATAAGGGCAGATTCATTGTTAGAATCATGGAACTCGTGATGAGTGGTGATAAGTAGTAATAACTGGAACAAGTGAGGAGGACGGGAGAAGGAATGCATTGTTCCGAGAACCCGGTTTTTAGATATACAATGCCCATTACAACCCCCATTGTAATATCAAAACGTGAAAGAAACTTCAAAGAAAACCAAAGGAGCCGTCCAAAACGCCATTCATCATGTCCCATCATGAAACGCATATACCTAAACCCACGGCTAACAAAGCGCCTCCTTCACGTCAAAGAAAACTGACAGTCTCCCGTTTCCTTCTCCTTACTTCCTCAACTCATACTTGATAAACACCGGCCTCGTGGGCCGATGAACCTGGTGCTGCGACCGATCGAGCAGATCCGGCGTGGCGACGGTGGGGTTTCCGTCTCCGTCGACGAGGTGGTAGTCGAAGTGGGCGACGAACATGGAGATCATGACGGCCATTTCGAGTTTGGCGAACTGTATTCTTGTTAGTTCCTGTCTCTTTCTCTCTCTCTCTCTCGACGTTGGATGTTTGGAGGGTTTCTTACTCGTATGCCCACTGAAGATACATTGTTAGCAATAATTTCGATGAGAAGAGAAGGGAGAAGTAAAGGAAAGGCAACTTACGGCAAGGATGTCTCCCGCTTCCCCATCCGATATACCCATGTGCAGAAAGCTTCTTATCCTCTTCCCTCCCCTCTAGGAACCGGTCTGGGTCCCAAGTCTCCGGATCGGTGTATATCTCTGGATTCATCTGCGTATCATCAAACAGATAAACCTGTAATACTCGAAGCACAGACGCATCAGCAGACAGCCACTATAAAGTGAGAGAGAGACACAAAAAACCCACAGCAAAAGCATCGTCAGGAACAACCTCCCCCGACTCCCCAATCAACACATCCCCCCCACTCCGATTCTGCCGAAACCCGCACCCCACAATCGTCAACCGAATCGTCTCACGCAGCGCCACATCAATAACGGGGAACTCGACCTCCCACTCCTCGAAGCTCAGGGTCGCCAGGACGTCGGCGGGTGTCTGATCGGCGCTGACGCGGTGGCGGTCGATCACGGCATCGACCTCCTCGCGGACTTTGCGGCGCCAGCGGGGGTTTTGACCGAGGTAGCAGAGGAGCCAGGCGGCGTTGTAGCCGGAGTTGATTTGGCCGGCGAAGAGGGCGGCGATGACGATCTGGGCCTCTGTGTTAGTCTTATTGAAGCATCGGTCGGGGAGGGAGAGGGAAGGGAAGAGTTACGGAGATGATGTCGGCAACGTCAAACCCCAAATCAATAAGAACCTGCAGCGCATCCTCCCTCCTAATCCCCTCCTTAGCCCTCGTATCGATAATCCCCTTAAAAAGGAAATACATCCTCATCCCCGCCCACAACCGCCTCAAATGGCTCGGCGTCGTCATCCACGACGGAACCAACAACTTGCTCCCTGCGCTCGCCCCATCAATACTCTCAAAGATACCCAACGTCTCAGCCAGCAACTTTTCGTCTCCCGCAATCTCGGCGCAGCCCACCGTTCGCATGGTGAGTTGGTACACCAGCCGGTACAGGTCGTCGAAAGGGTTCACCATCGCCAATCCGTTACCGAGACATCGGGATGCTAGACGGTCTGTTAGGGCGCGGGCGTCGGCTACGAGTTGCGGGGTGAGGGAGACGAGGTTTTCTTTGCGGACGAATTTGAGGAGGGCTTTGCGGATTTTGGCGCCGAGGTTTTGTTGTTCGGGGCTGTTTACTTGGGGGGTGGCGTTGAAGAGCGTCGAGTATCTAAAAGACTCGCGGCCTCCGTCAGTTCTCTCGTCTCTTCTGGCTTGAGGATATAAAACACTTACCCCCCTTCCATATCCATATCCTTGCTATCGAAAAACGTCCTCCGTCCATCCTCCCCAGATAGCCCCACGATCCTGAACTTGCCGTAGTAAAAGCTCGCCTGCCCGGACTTGCTCTTGTCCCTAACCTCCTCGAGGAAGGCCTTCCTGTCCGAGAAGAAGCGGAGGGCGCCGACGATGGGGTAGGCGTCGAAGAGGGGCGGGGCTTTGAGGGGGAAGGGAGGGCGGGAGAGCCAGGTGGTGGTGGTGTAGGCTGTTGCTGTGAGGAGGAGGACCCAGAGGGTTGGGGACCAGGTCGAGGGGGAGGAGAGAGTCGCTAGGAGGTCCATTTTGGAGAAAGAGGGAGGAGAGAGGAGAGGAAGGATGGATTTGATCTCGGATTGTTGGTAGTTTTAGATGTTTAGATGCCCATTTGCTTATAAGTGAGAGATGCTAACTCGAGGGGAAGGATCAGGCTAGAATGAAGTTATCACCAAGTTTTAAAACGTCAAACGTCAAACGCCAAACGTTAAACGTCAAGCCAGCCAGGAAAGCTTAACGCCTTTGCTGGAAAATAAAGGGAAGAAACGTCCCAACTGTAAAATATAATTGGGAAACAAAAAAGGGAAACCCCCCCGAAAGAAGTAAGAATAAGATTGACGAAACATATAACAGATACACCCTCATCCCCATTCCCCATTATTATCCAAGCGTGCCCCAAGCGATCAGAGCCAAGAATGGTGTGTGCCGTCCGTCTTGTTGGCGAACCGGGAACAAACTTCCCGCCCCCCTTGCATCAATGATCGCATTTCGTTCGCTTTCTTCCCCCTACACCCTCCCCTTTCGTGAGCAAACTGCATCGCTTCTCGCCTCCGAATGGACGTGCGACGGTGACATATCGGGCGCTATAAGAGACAAGCGAGACGTGGCCTCCCTCAATCCATCCATCTCAGGATTCCTAACTTCCCTTCTGTCTCATGACAACCGGATTGCGCAAAAGAGAAGACGGAAGAGACGAGAAAAAAGAAGAAGAAAAAGAAAAAGAAATCCCGAAGAAAATAGTATGAAACATGTTGTGCATGCCGTTGAAACGGCGAAAAAGGAGCAAGGGCCCCGAGGTGTCTGTCATCCGAAAATAGACCAAGGGAGAGGCGAAGCAACTCGGAGAAATCTCAAAGCTTAAACCTGACACCCCAGACACCCGCCTCCTCCGGCAAATGCTACTCTGTCTGACCATGTCTGTGTCTGTGTGTCTGCCCGTGGATCCGCATTTCCTTTCGCCTACACTATGGTGTAGAGATGTAGACAAAAATAGGGGAAAAAAATACCGGAACCTGCGTTGAGCCCAGTTGTTGTGAAAATCCGATTACATCCCGGTCAGACCTCTAGCGCTTTCACCAGCTGCCTAGAGGGTGACAGATTAACTGCTCGGCTCGCAGGTTCCTTGAAGGTCCTGGGAATTGTTCGGGTCTACATAGTTAACTCGGGGTTTCGATGAGGTTGGGTTGCGGTGGCTCCTTCTTGATGGTGCTCTTTCCTTGTATGTGAGTGGATGTTAGATGTTAGGCGGCTCCTTCCTTGCTAAATCGATCTCGAAGTTTGAGAGCGAGGCAGAGGTTTGGAGAAGTGATCTCTCTGATCTTGGTATAAGCATCGGGCTCTCTGCTGACGGCATCTGCTGCGTTGGGCTTGTAAGGCTGGCCTAGTATCACTCAACTTCGTACATCCTCTGGTTGGCTTCGAGAGCTGCCCTGTCCCTGGCCGATTCTCCTCACCGTGCCACGCTCTATCCCTGATTCCTTCTCACCAACGGTCGCGCTTCTTCGAAAGAGGGGGACGGGGTCGCGATCTAATAAAGCCAGCTATAAAATCTCCCCTTTAAGTTCTCTATATATAATAGACGTTAAGTTTTTAACTAAGAGTAGAATGGGTAGGCTTGCAGCTAGCAGCCAGCTAGCTACGATCACAGGCTGCTTGGGTATTTTGTAAGATCTCAAAACGTCTTCAAATAGCACGAGACATGAAACTATAAATATGCATTATTTGTATCTAACCCTCAATACCACTCTCCTTCCTCTAGACTCTTAGAAATACCTGCATTGTGAGTTACTGCTGTTTCTACTACCACGCCGCCAGGCAGCCATAGCCAGTTCATTCCTCGAAGGGGGAGCTCCGACCACTGTGGGTGGCAATAGACTCAAACCTCGACTTTCATCATCACCGTCACTCACTATGGCACCTGTAATTTGCCCTGACGAGCCTCGTCACACGGACGAATGTTCCAATACCCTCTCCAAGAACAAGGCACAATCCAAGCCGCTGGACCAATTCCACTACTTCCCTCGGCTTCCCCCAGAGCTCCGCATTATCATCTGGGGGATGGCCTTACGCCCTTGCGGTATAAGAGGCGTCCATTATTTCTCCCTCTTCAACAGCAGCAAAGAGCATCCGCTCTGGGATCTATCCATCGCCAACCGTTGGCTCAGCAAATCCGGGAAAGTATACGGAGAACTTCTCGGTAACCTCCTTAACACCGAGCACAGAATACCTGCTCCGAGAGTTGTCGCTCACGGCGATCCGTCTCAGCCTCAGCCTCAGCACTCGTGGTTCAAGGGCAACCCGTCACTCTATGCATGGGACGCGGGCCTTTTCAACGCATGCCGAGAATCTAGGCGGATCCTCGCAACCGAGTCGCTAAAGCGGAGTCGTCTGAATTGGGATGGGTGGGTCATTGAAGGTCGCCACGACGAGGGCGGTAAAATAATGCCCCTTCGAGGCCACTCTTACCATGACCTGCATTGTTTCCAGTTCGACCGCGGGCTTGTCGAGGCGTCCAAATATCTTCGTTGGAGTGTCCTCCTTTCCCAGCTACCCTTTAACCACCTGAGCCTCTGTCCATCTAACATCGCCTTTGAATTTGACCCAACCTGGCTCGTTTCTCTCCCTGATGGCGGTGATCTGGTCAACTACCTACGCAATGAACCCAGTCCCCGCGGCCTCGTTGCTCGTCTTCTCGATGCCTGGCATCACAACGAGGTCCCTAGCTATATCCAAATATGGCTTATTGACCGAAGCATACGCGTGAGCGAGGAAATAGAGGCGCGAATGCGCTACCATCCCCGGACGGCATTTTCCGATTTGCGGGAGACGTATGTTAGTGTCAAGAGACGGGATATCTTCTGCGATCTTGGCCCGAAGATGGAAAGAGATAGCGTGTTTTACCTGTGCAGGAGGTTTGCTGATTGGGAAACGTCGATCAATAGGATGCCGTTGCGGAACTCTCTTGGTGTTTTAGCCTGCCTGCCCAGAGAGAACGTAGATAATGATGAATCATGAATAGAATCGCTTTCTTCTTCTGACCTTGTGATGCCCTGTGATTCCAAGCATGAGGCAGGTGCGTTTAGTCAGCGTATATTGCGTATGCAAGTGGATGCATGTGGTCTCTTGAAATCCGGGAAGCCATGAACAAGCTCAACACATCAATTGATATGAGTGGAAGGAAGATTGCAACCGAGAACGAGTCCGGAAGGAGCTCGGAAGGGAACCGACAGGAGCCTTAGATACGCCGACGATGTAGACTTTTGACCGCATCATCTATAAATAGGATAGCTATCCTAATCCTCTCTCCTCCTCTCTTTTCCTCAACATCACCACTTTCTCCTGTTGTTCCCAGACCTTTCTTTTTCGTGATAATGTAAGTGCAACCATTCCTTCCGCCTCTGGGACCGCCCAGGAGCCTCTGATTATCTTTGTGTGCTATGTTCTGACTTAAATGGGGCAGCATCATGAGCCAAGACTACAAAGGCTACAATGTAAGTTGTTCCGTTATCTTTGCTGTCTATCAAGAATTGGCCAATATTGACTGTGGACTTGATGCTCAGCGGCTACCATGGGATGCAGTGAGTGTTCACTCAGTGCCTCTATTGATATCTGTTATACTGAGATCCCCCAGTCGTTCCCCCAGCCTGTCCAGCCCTCCGACACCACGCAGCCCGCCGGCCCACCAGAGTCCGAAGGGCGCGAGCGCCCGAAAGTAAGCATACCTCGAGATGATAGGGATTACCTTTGCCAGTGTACTTGAACCTTGACTCACAAAGTGCTCTTGTTGATAGATCCACTCCGCGGGGGTACTTGATGCTCGCCACATCTCCTTCTTGACTTCGGAATCTAGTACTAACAGATGCTTGTCCCGATCTAGTGGCATCAGGAAATGGCCGCAGTAAGTGGTGTATCTTTCTCCCTTTTACCCAATTGAATTATGGCCGAGGATGATACTCACCATACATTTACACAGGAGGCCAGGCGGAAAGCGCAGGTAACAACTTGGATTTTGCAACTAATGCATCGTTTACTTATAAATCGATACTAATAAGCCTGTGTGATGTTATAGGCCAAGCTCTTGGACGTTGGCGTAGAGCACGACATTGTTTATACCGATTTTATAAGATACTAACATTGCGTTTAGAAAGTGGAGAAGAGGATGATAGTAGGCCTACTCCTAGTATCTTGCATTTCGATTGCTAACTTTAATTTGCCTTCTAGGGGATGAGGGCGAAGTTGAGCGCAAGTCTCCACGACTTCTTCACCACGCTAAGCGTTCGAAGCTCTTCGAAGTCGGGAATGACCTGTCGATCGTTGAGACCGCATCAAGCATCGCCGATCTGAAAGTGATTTTCATCAGAGGGAACAAAATCGAGAGGTATCCCGGGGAAACTTGTTAGTATGTCATATCTCATAGACCAGCTTCCCTGGTGCTTTGTCTTTCGATGCTGACCTTCTTGACTTGTGTTAAAGCCTCTGCAGGTAGACTGGGACGTAAGTCAATACAACTTCATCACTTCGATGCCGCCGATTCACGATAGAAGCCAGACAGGCTCTACTCCCCGGTGCGGAGGATACCGACACCATCAAATAGCAGCATGTGTGGCTTGGGAGACTATACACCCTTGCACAAGTATCGTCCTCGACAACCGGCCCATCTCGTCACCACTACCACCGCCACCGCCAATCCTGCTGCAGGAGGCTAGTGTGGGAATCAGAACTGCTTGATTCATCTTCTTTCCGTCTTCGGAAAATGATACTAGCAAGGTGGTATGCGACGTATCGCGGGGAGATGGTCAAGGTAAGTCCACGACTCTCTTTATCTACCATATATCCGGCCATCATTGCAGAGGTTGGCTGACTGTTGGGAATAACAGAATATCCAAGATCCTCTCGGGTTTCCTAGAATGTGAAGGGTTCATGGAATTAGTCGGAGGAAGAGCAGGAAACAGAAGAAGGAGCGGTAAGCAACTAGTGCACCCCAAGACCAAGATGGACCAGATGCCATGACCGTTTTCGACTTACATGATGACAGCGGCCGGGCGAAGAGACGGCTGCTGAGCCACCCACTCCCACCGCTGAGCAGCTGAGCCACCGGCCGCCAGCTAACTCCCCGAAAACACTGCGAGTCTACCCCTTCCGGATGCTACTGGTAACGAGACGGATCAGAGCCGCTCAGTCTAGCAACATCGACAAACAGCCGAAACAGCGGCGGCCAATGGTCAAATACCAGAACCCGCTGGACCCGCTGCGGAACTCCTTCAGAGGGGGGGCAGACGTCGGATCCGTTGATCAATGGAAAACAATACTGGGGGCCACACAATAGAGGTTTCCCGGTGAAATGGTAACCGAAGGGGCCGCCTTCCGAGAAGACGTACTTCCCCAGGATCGCGCCTGGTAAAGAAGGAGCTGTATTAGGGAAGACTAAAATGAATGATGAGTTGACTATTATTGGAACTGATTAACGTGATGTTGATGCTTGATGGACTGTGCAAACGTGAAGCAGAAACCGAGGAAACAAGAAACGAAGCCTTCCACGTGGAACTATCTTCTTGCGCCGTAACAGCCTCAGTCCTTCCATTCTTGCAGGACAGTTAATAACATGTGCCCACCCCAATAACATGTAGAAGAGGGTGAAGCAAGCAGACCCCCATGGCGATGAATCATAAACATACGATCCGAGCTTCCCCAACTGGGAAGGGAACTACACATCTTGAAGACACATCGAGACACTGGGAAACACTTCTTATTCGACTAATTTCATTGAACCCATCTACCTCATTATCATAAAACGAGAAACTAAAGTACAATGAGCCTTGTCCTCGGAACTTTCATAAAAAAGATCATCGAGTCCAAGCAAGCATGATGTTATCGATGTAACTTATCGAAACCCCCTGCCTGATTCCTGACGAGCGACGGGTAAAAATCAAAAGAAAAATAAACATCAAGTTTCCGTCAAACTCCTTTAAAAGCCACTTTTTGTAGCCCTTTGCCTCCTGAGAACAATTCCCTTTCTGTATGAAACAGCTTTTTTATTCGATTGCCTTGCCTTACAACGCCTTGCTGCTGCTTGGTACTGCTGCATTTAGTCAACCTCCTCCATGGCGCTGTCACCAGTCTCGGCAGCAGTGGCGCCGGCCTCGGGGGTCTCGTCGTCGGTCTTGACCTCATCCTCGATGTTGAGGCCGACCTGGACGAGCTTGTGGATGCGCTCGGCGAAGCTGGCGGGCTCCTCGATGGTGAAGCCGGAGACGAGGAGAGAGGTCTCGTAGAGGAGCTGGACGATGGACTTGACGGTGCGGTCGTTCTCGCCGTCGGCCTCGACCTTGGCCTTGAGCTCCTTGATGATGGGAGACTTGGGAGAAATCTCGAAAGTCTTCTTGGAGGACATGTAGCTGGACATGGAGGTGTCACGGAGGGCCTGGGCCTTCATGATACGCTCCATGTTAGCGGACCAACCGAACTGGCCAGTGCGGATGGCGCAGGGGGAGAGGCCGAGCTTGTGGCTGACGACGACCTTCTCGACCTTGTCGCCGAGAATGTTCTTGAGCGACTTGGCGAGGGACTCGTATTCCTTCTCCTCCTCCTCGCGCTTCTTCTTCTCCTCGTCGGTCTCCTCGAGCTCGAAGTCCTTGGTGATGTCGACGAGCTTCTTGCCCTCGAACTCCTTGAGCTGGGTCATGGCGTACTCGTCAATGGGGTCGACGAGGAAGAGAACCTCGAAGCCCTTCTCCTTGAGGGAGTCAAGGAAGGGAGACCTGGCGACGGCCTTGAGGGACTCGCCGGTGATGTAGTAGATGTTCTTCTGGTGCTCGGGCATGCGAGTGATGTAGTCGGCGAACGAGGTCTGGTCGTCACCAGACTTGGTGGAGTTGAAGCGGAGGAGCTTGGCAAGAGTGCCGCGGTTCTGCGAATCCTCGTGGATACCGAGCTTGATGTTCTTGCTGAAGGCAGAGTAGAACTTGTCGAACTGCTCCTTGTCCTCGGCAATCTCGTTGAAGAGCTCGAGAGACTTCTTGACAATGTTCTTCTTGATGACCTTCATGATCTTGTTCTGCTGGAGAGTCTCACGAGACAGGTTGAGAGGGAGATCCTCAGAGTCGACGACACCCTTGATGAAGCTGAGCCACTCGGGGACGAGATCGGTGGCGTCATCGGTGATGAAGACACGGCGGACGTAGAGCTTGATGTTGTTCTTGGTCTTCTTGGTCTCGAAGAGATCGAAGGGAGCGCGCTTGGGCACGAAGAGGATGGCGCGGAACTCGAGCTGGCCCTCGACGGAGAAGTGCTTGACGGCAAGATGGTCCTCCCAGTCGTTGGAGAGCGACTTGTAGAAAGAGGCGTACTCCTCCTGGGAAATGTCCTGGGGGTTGCGGGTCCAGATGGGCTTCTGCTTGTTGAGCTCCTCCTCCTCGATGGTGGTCTCCTTGATCTTCTTGGTCTTCTTCTTCTTCTCCTTCTCCTCCTCCTCATCGTCGACCTCCTCGATCTTGGGCTTCTTGTCATCCTCCTCGGTCACCTCAGTCTCCTCGGCCTCCTCATCGGGAACCTCCTTCTCGACCTCCTTCTGGACATGGAGGTAGATGGGGTAGGAGATGAACTCGGAGTGCTTCTTGATGACATCCTTGATGCGGCTCTCGTTGAGGTAGTCAGTCTGCTCATCCTTGAGGTGGAGGATCATCTTGGTACCACGGCCGAGCTGCTTGCCCTCAGTGTCGGGCCTGATGGTGAAGGTGCCACCGGCACTAGACTCCCAGATGTACTGCTCGTCATCGTTGCTCTTGGAGACGACGGTCACCTTGTCGGCGACGAGGTAGGCGGAGTAGAAACCAACACCGAACTGACCAATCATGGAAACATCAGCGCCGGCAGTGAGGGCCTCCATGAACTGCTTGGTGCCAGACCTGGCGATGGTACCGAGGTTGTTGACCAAGTCCTAGAGTGACAGTTAGAAATCAAGTCCGCTTGAATGGCAAATCGTGGATGGATTAAAACTTACAGCCTTGGTCATACCAATACCGGTATCCTGGATGGTAAGGGTCTTGTTCTCCTTGTCAGGAATGATGTCGATCCTCAGATCCTTGCCCGTGTCGAGCACGGAAGGATCCGAGAGGGACTGGTATCGGAGCTTGTCGAGGGCATCGGAGCAGTTGGAAATGAGCTCTCGAAGGAAGATCTCCTTGTTGGAGTAGACGGTGTTGATGATGAGGGAGAGAAGCTGAGAGATCTCAGCCTGGAACTCGAAGGTTTCAGACATCTTGTCGGGTATTATGTGAAGAAGTAGAAAACTGGGGTCTGCGAGAGTCAATTGTTAGCTGGGAGGCTCTCTTCTGTCGATGCCTGCTTGTTGGCGAGAAATAGAGAACGGATGGAACGAGGAAAAAATTTCCGAGAAAGAAATAGAAGAGGGGTTGAGGAGAGGGAGAGGAGAAACTCAAAATCGGCCGCCAATGGTCTTGGGAAGGTTCAGCCCGCCTCGGCCGGCTGCTATTCCTGATCGATGGTGGGCAGACCGCTCCTTCCCAACACCAATTGGGGGCACGACCTCGAACATAAGGTGATAAACGGATGGCGGAGGGGAACCAATGGCTGCTACTTACATCAAGAGGCTTGCGGATGGAGGGGCGAGTACGGAAATGAGAGTTCGTGTAGCTTCGGGGGTTCAGAAAGGAGGAATCTTATGGCTCCCACTTTCGAAGGCAGATGGATGAGGGGGGTGAGGAAAAGAAAAGCGGTTGAGATTACTGCGGGGTCTTCTTGAGGAGAAGAAGTTTCAATTTATTTTCAGGGAAGAGTTGGATGAAGAGTGAAAAGAAAAAATTGGAGCTGAGAAGGTTTGGACGTCCTTAAAAGTTCCTGCTTACAAGGGGCTGGTTGCTCCCCTCCCCCCCATTGCTTCGTACCTTCCCTCTGCTCTGTGCCTAGCCTCAAGATTCCACGGGATTCTATCACTTGGAGAGCTTCCAGAGCCTTCTCAAAAATTTGGCCACCACAGCAACGGGGCTGGTCTGTGATTGGCTGCGGTGGGGGAAGCTCGGTGGGGAAGTACCTCGGAAGGTACAATTCCTAGCAATGGTACAATATTCACCAGGATCTAGCCGCCTACGAAACCCGTTTTTCTGCCTGGTTCTGCGGTGTGTTACATGTACCCTGCAAGACCAGACAGAGGCTCGGGGTACTTTGCAAATAGCTGCCCTAAGCATTGAAGCAGGTACCAACCGGCGCTAAGATGGGGAAACCCTTCCCACTAACAAAGTACACTTTCCTGAGTCGGCTTCGTGTTGGAGAATGGGGGAAGAGGAGCAAACCTACGAAGTACAGGGTCGAGAATCTTCTGTCCATAGCCTGGCTATCGAGACAATTTCTAGAGCATTCCGAAACTGGGATTTTGACAAGGCTCAGTGCATTCCTTCGAAGTGGATACAATTGTTCCAGTTTCTCATGGACAATTCCAATCGCTTCTGCCTGTTTTCGGTGTGGGGAGGATTGTCTCGCCCTGCCTTTTGGGATCAACCTCCCTGCGCCTCATTCCTCCCAGGACGAGGCTGATGCCGTTTGCAGGTCCAAGTATCTGTACTTGTCTCTCATCCCCGCTGTGCTGGGAGCTCTCACAATATGAGCAAAAGACCTGGTATCATCCCACCAACCACTGATGGATTTCGTAGAGGTACAAGCCGAAAAGGTGCTTGGGCAGGGGTCGCTTTTCACCAGCCGATAATACTCCGCTGAGGCGAGGAGCAAACGCAATTTGGCCAACAGCTGTTTTCACATGCCATCCATGGCACGAAGTACTTCGTACAACATCTTTCCATTGTGCAGAGCCGCACGCAAACCAAATCTGTCTTTGGGCGACACGATTGCTCCATGCAATTCAGAGCATCGCCGCTCCCTAACGTGGTCGCCGATGCCATCTCGATCCTCCCATAACAACCATCTCTAGATTTCGTATTATTTCCCGGACTGCTCACTCCCCAGCAACCATGGAGAGATTCAGCCAGTTCCGCGATAAGGGTAAGATCCTACAGCTTCCAGGCTCTCGCCAAGCTCTCCAGCTCTATCCCAACTCCCGGTATCTCACAGGACCTCAAAGTTAACAAAACGAAACCCTCCACAGGCTCCGGAATCGCCCCTTTCATCCCAATCCAAACCCCTCACTCAACCCTCTCAACCCTCATCCACGCCTCCCTCTTCGCCTTCCGCCTCCCCTTCTTCCTCGCCTATGCAATCCTCTACTTCACCATCCTCCAACACCTGCCCCTCCCTGCTGCCCTCCGCAAGCTCCTCCTGTGGGCCTTCATGTCCATCCCGGGGCTCTGGTGGGTAGATCTCCAGATGGACGGCGTCCGCCGCGGCACTTTATCCGACCAACCTCCCGACCGGATTCCGCGTCCGGCTTCCGTCATCGCTGCGAACTTTACTTCTCCGGTCGATCCGCTTTACCTCGCTGCCGTCTTCGATCCCGTCTTCACGATCTCTTATCCCCGGCTTCGCAAGGTCCGCCACGTTTCGCTCCTCCAGGCCATTCTTCACGCCCTCGCCCCCGTTAAACTCGCCCCTCCCCCCGCCGCCCGCCTCACCGATCTCGAGACCTTACTCGCAAAGTATCCCAACCGCGTCGTCGCCGTCTTCCCCGAATGCAGCACCACCAACGGCAAAGCCATCCTCCCCCCGAGCCCCTCCCTCCTCTCGGCCCCGCGTGACACGCACATCTTCCCCGTCAGCATCCGGTACTCGCCCGCCGACGTGACGACCCCCGTCCCCGGCCGTTGGCTCCACTTCCTTTGGACGCTGCTCTCGCAGTCGACCATTTGTATTCGCGTTCGCATCGCCGAGAGGACTTCCAATACCGCCGCGCCTGAGCCCGCAGCCACTTCGACGGGCGTGGACGGTGTTTCCTCTGCCTCTGCGGCGTCGGGAGAAAAGATCTCGGCTGAGGAGAGGAGGGTGTTGGATAAGATTGGGGAGGCACTCGCGCGGTTGGGGAGGAGTAAGAGGGTGGGGCTTACCCTTGAGGATAAGGCCGCTTTTGTCAAGGCTTGGAATGCGAAGAGGTAACGGTGATGGGCTATGCTTGGGGGGTTGTCTGCTGTTTCCGGTGTTGCTGGGGTGTGTTTGGAAAAAGTTTCTCCTGGATTGATGTCTATGTTCTTTCCAAACCCTTCTAAGAGCTCTCGCTTCTGTTTATTAAGAAGAGCCTCTCGCTTGATGATTGATGGATGTATATATCGCTTCGCTTGGTCAACTTATATTTCCTATACCTTGGATGCATCTAATAGAATGTTCGTCTTTCCACGTCATCTCCCTCTCGTTCTTGACCTACGATGCTAGCATCACTTCTCACACCTTCCTTTAAACTTAGACAAGTAACAAGTTCTTTTTGTTGCGCCGATACCTCAATTCAAGGCACTAACTACACACGCACCCGAACCCATCTAAAAACGAAGTGAAGAAAGAGAAATAATAAACACATAATAAACACGACATATCTTCGAAGTATTAGACATAAAAAAAGAATCACCAAACCTCATAAAACACACATACCAAGCCACCCCTTCCCCTTTTTCACACCCTAATAGTTCCCATCCGTAATACACCCATGCGATGCATCACTCACAAGCTGCGCATACTTCTTCAAAGTCCCCCTCGTATACCTCGCCTCCGGCGCCTTCCACTCCTTCCGCCTCCTCTCAAGCTCCTCGGCACTAACATCCAAATCCATCACGTTCTTCTCCGCGTCAATAGTCACCTCGTCGCCATCCCTCACAAGCGCAATGGGTCCGCCCTCCATGGCCTCGGGAACGACGTGACCAATCAGGAAACCGTGGCTACCGCCAGAGAAGCGTCCGTCGGTGATGAGGGCCACATCTTTGCCGAGACCGGCGCCCATGATGGCCGAGCTGGGCTTCAGCATCTCGGGCATGCCGGGACCGCCCTTGGGACCCTCGTAGCGGATGATGACGACGGTCTTTTCGCCCTTCTTGATCTCGCCGCGCTCGAGAGCCGAGATGAAGTCGTCCTCCGCGTCGTAGCACTTGGCCTTGCCGACGAAGCGGAGGCCTTCCTTGCCGGTGATCTTGCCGACCGAGCCGCCGGGCGCTAGCGTGCCGCGGAGGATCTGGAGATGGCCGGTGGCCTTGATGGGGTTGTTAAAGGTCTGCACGATGGTTTGGCCCTCAGTGAAGTCGGGGTAGCTCTCGACGTTCTCCTTCATCGTCTTGCCGGTGACGGTCATGCCGGAGCCGTCGATGAGGCCCTCGCGGAGGAGGAACTTGAGGAGGGCGGGCGTGCCGCCGATCTTGTGGAGATCTTCCATGACCCACTTACCCGAGGGCTTAAGGTCGGAGAGTACGGGCGTCCTGTCCGAAACGGCCTGGAAGTCGTCGATGGTGAGCTTGATGCCCGCGGCGTCGGCGATGGCGATCAGGTGGAGAACGGCATTGGTGCTGCCGCCCGTGATGGTGACGACGACCATGGCGTTCTCGAAGGCCTGCCTTGTGAGGATATCCTTGGGTCGGATATCCTCCTTGAGGAGGTTCCTCATGACGTTGCCGATGTTGGCGCACTCGGCAAGCTTGCCGGCATCCTCGGCGGGCGTGCTACTGCTGCCGGGAACGGTGAGACCGAGGGTCTCGATGGCGGTGGCCATGGTGTTCGCCGTGTACATGCCACCGCAGGCACCGCCGCCGGGACAAGCGTGCCTGATGATATCATACCGCTCCTCCTCGGTAATCTGGCCGGAAATATACTGTCCATACGCCTGGAAGGCCGAAACGATATCAATCGGCTCTCCCTTGACAGTGCAGCCCGGCTTAATAGTACCACCATACACCATGATCGACGGGCGGTTAACCCTCGCCATGGCAATAGCCACACCAGGCATGTTCTTGTCACATCCAGGAAGCGAAATATTCCCATCATACCACTGCCCATTCATGACCGTCTCGATACTATCGGCGATAATCTCTCGGCTCTGCAGCGAGTACCTCATGCCCACGGTACCCATGCTAATGCCGTCTGACACACCGATCGTGTTGAACCGATAAGGGACCAGCCCGGCGTCGGCCACCGACTGCTTGACGATGTCGGAGAGACCCAGCAGGTGCATGTTGCAGGGGTTTCCTTCGTACCACACCGACGAGATGCCGATCTGCGCCTTCTTGAGATCCGCGTCCGTCAGACCCGTGGCGTAGAGCATAGCTTGCGAGGCGCCTTGGGACTTGGGCTGGGTGATGGTCGCGGAGACTTTGTTGAGCTGTTCATCGGCGGCGAGGCGTGGTGTTGTCGACAGGAGGCGGCTGCAGAATGTACAAGTTAGCTTCTAATTGATTTATTCACCTTTGTTTCTCTCAGAAAATAGCAACTACAAAATATTTGAAATCGATAGGAATATTCCCTTACGCATTCTGGCTTATCCGGAGGGGAGCTGTCGCCGCCCTCAGGCGAAGACAGCTACTTGCTTGCCGAAACATGATGACTGTGTAGGCACTAAGCAGCACTGTTAAATAGGAGCGATGGGATAGGTTGTTGCAAGGCTGTTTCAATTGCACATCGTAGGTTCGGATGGAGGAGAAGGGCGGAGAAAAGAGAGAGAGGGGAAATATGAAATTTCGTTGGGGAGCAATGACTCGAACTTTCCTAGATCACAGGGAAGGTCACAGGGACAGAACCAAGGTCTGGGTGCGGATATCATGAAAATAAAGAAAAGAAATGGGAAAAAAAAATAAAGAATTCATGCAGCGATGTCGGGGGATCCGCCTAAGTTCTCGGGCCACTGAACATCAATTGATCGACCTGAACCTTTCGAGCTTCCCCCGCAGGTTCTCCACTGCGGTCACAATTACCCTCGTCGTTATTGGCCAATGGCATTTTAGCTTGCCAAGGCCCGAACAGTTGCTGAGTGCCAGCTGTCACCACTTAAATTCGACCCACCTCTACTACCTCCCAACTCCCGAAGCTCCCTAACTTTCTCCGAGGTCAAACATCAATACCGAAGGAACCACATCACTGATCAGATTCCAAAGTGTCCGAGAATGCTCTACACACCGGAGACATAACGAGATTTCAAGGATTTGATGAATAAAATCTGGTATTCTATTTGTAAAGATTGAGGGGGTCGGGTGAGACTATCCCTTCACTCCAAACCTCCTCCAAGAACGAACCGGTAGCAAGCAAAACTCCCAACGGGTTCACCCCTTTCCATACCCACACGAGGATGGGTGGGAAAGGGGACAGACAATTCAAGATAAAAGACAGCAACTCCCCCAAAACTCCTCTCGCTTGCTGCACAGGTTTCAGCAAATCCTACCCAGGCCTAACAGATATCTTGTATGTTTTATGTACATATGAGTTTGCTGGAAAGGGAGGGGATAAAAAAAACAATCAAAAACCACAAAGGAAAGCAGAAAAGCAGCAGAGACTCGATTCCTTTTTCTCTTGAAGGGAATGGACAAAAAAAAAAGAAGGAGAAGAAAAAGGAATGTTTAGTGAGATTCATCCACGTACGGTCCCCCAAGGCAAGAAAGAACAAGTAACTGGCCAAAAAAAAAAAAAAAAAAAAAAAAAAAAAAAAAGAAAGAAAGAAAGAAAAAAAGACAGTCATGGTATAATGACAAGACAGAACAAAACTAATGAACAGGGAAGGGAGCGGAACGCGAGGGTCTCACAGAAGGGCTTGCCTGGTACTTTTGGAGGTTTTTCGAAGTCAAACCGTAGACGCAAAAGAAGGTAGGGGGAAAAGAGCACCGCAAGAAACGAAAAGAACAAATTCAACGCCACCAGGGACGAACTAATCGAGAACGGCAAGTCAGCCTCGATGCCTCGGCAAGAGAGGAGATAGCTTTGGAGGAGGGCCACTCGACGGGACGAAGCGGATATGGAGACAGGCTTGAGAAGAAAATCGAGAAAAACCAAACAGGGTCATGACATCATTAATGAGACTATGCTCCGTGTTGAAAAAAATGCGTTCCGAGAATGAGAGGCGGACAAAAGCGGAACATTGAAGGACCGCAAGGGGTATGTATGTAAGTGCGTAAATCGACAACCAGGCCATTAATCGAACAGAAAATAGACGGAACGCATATGTAAGTGGTAGAAGGCTCCCCCGGACCGAAAACAGACCAAATATTGAACACCGCTCGACTGAAAGAGCGATCCAGCTACATGACGACGCAGCATCCGCAGCCCTCTTTGCTCTCCTTTTCCTTCTCCTGGTGTTGTTTCTGCTGTTCGGGAGCCTGGGTGATGTCCTTAGGGGAGAGAGGCTGGTGTTGCGGTGGCATCCCAGGAGTCCTGGGGCTCGGAAGGGGGCTGAGCTGGGGAGGCACGTCGATAATCTTGGGCATTGTGGAATAGGAGCTGATAAGCTTTGGCGTCTGGCTGCGACCAGCTTCGCCCCTCAAAGGCCACTCGTTGGAACGTTGGGATTCGGGTTCGGGTTCCGGCGCTTCGGGCTTGGGGTCCGGTTCTCGCTTCTCCGGTGGTTGCAAGAACCCATCCTCGGTGAGAGGCCTGAACTCCTTGTCATAGACATTGCCGAATTTGCCCTCCTTTTCCCACTTCTCTTGTTGCAGTCGTCGGGCTACAGTAGGGAGGAGCTGCTGGTCAGGTGGCAGCCGAGGGTCGGGCTGATAAGCGGATACCAACCATGGCGGGTCCCCTTCAGGCTGCTTCGATGAGGCCACACTAAGGTCTCCCGATCTCGTGGATGGCCGCGTGCCGGCGCTGCTGGTGGAATCTTTGTTGGAGCTGGATCGGGTTTTCGGCCTCCCGCTAGCAGATGGCCCGCGCGCAGACGGCCTACGAGTAGCTCCACCAGGATTGGCAGCCTTCTTTGGTGATCCGTCCGTTGCTGATCGCTTTCCTTGTGCCGTCGATGGTGGGGTCGTGTCGGCGGCGAGCTTCACACTAGCACTAGCACTGACACTCCTAGATCGCGGCTTGGGGTAGGATATGCTATCACCACCATCTTTCACGGGACCATCCGCAGCAGGCTTTCGAGAGCTCGGCGATTCACGCTCGAGGTAGTCGAGAGGGATTGGGGCCGGGCTCACTCTCGCTACCGGAATGCGTGTGCCTCCCTTGGACAGACCGGTCGGAGTTGCGAACCCCTTGTTCGCTTCGGCAACGATCTCCTCGGGCAATCTCAAGTCCCAGCTGGGGATTTCGATGTCTGCCGGCTTCGGATGATGATCCGCCGAAGAGTTCGCTCTAGATCGAGTTACAACAGGCCGGTCTGTCAGGGATGCGTCCGAGGCGCGGCCGGGACCCGCGGCTGGCTCGTGAGGTCGATGGTCTCGTCTCACTCTGCTAGGCATTCGCTGTCTTGGGAGAATAATACCGGCGGCTTGGAGTTCCTGGCTCTCTATCAGGGCCAGCTTGTCCCGATGAATCCATTTCGAGTCTTCGTCGCTTCCATCCCCCTCCGCCGGGATCCGTTTGTCGAGGGCTGAAGAGCTCACATTGCGGCGAGAAGTGGTGTGTTCGGTATGGTGATCGTGGTGGGCTGTACCGTTCATTTTCACGGGCTCGGATCCAGAGCCATACGGAGGAGAGGTGCGATTGCCGAGGTCCTGTGGTCGATGGTTGGTCTTTGCGGCGTGCACACTACCGTTCGCCGTGGGTTTTCGAGGATGGGAATCGCCGTTGGTCATATGGGTAGTGTGGTCGTCGGATGGTGCATGATGAGATGGGAGGGCATGGCCGCCGTTTGCGGTGTCATTAGCCACCAACGGCTGTTTCTTGTCTTGCACAAGCACCTGCACGGACAAACAAAAGTGTCAGTGTATTCAGGAATCGTGTTTTCGGCAGCTTTGTCTGTAGAAACCCCTGGAATCCCGTTTTTCTGCCGCTGCTCAGGGCTGTTGGGGGCAGGAGCGGGGGAAAATAAGAGAAACAAGGGGTAGAAGCAGAAACAACAGGATAAAATGAATGGGACTGCAGGTAGTGCTAGCGGCCACGGTTTCCGCGAAGCAACTTGTGAGGCATGTAATATTAGGCCATTTCTTACCTCTGTACGCTGAGGGCTCGGGTGTTCTCCCCAAGGACGGTCCTCTTGACTGCTGCTTGGTGGCGTTAGTGTGCTTGTCGTTGTGCTCGTCGTTGTTGCTGTCGTGTGGGTGCGCGTCGCTGAAATGGCCGCCATTTTACTTTCGTAGCTGTCCGTTCGTGCGTTTTCGCGGCCGGTCAGGAGGTGTCGTCCCCCCTGAGAGCGCGGGATAGATGATCGCCTCCTCCCGCCTAAATGGTTGCTACCCGAGTCGCTTCGCTATAGTCACACAAAATCGAGAATAAAATAATCGGAAACCGACAGCGGACCGGAATTGAAGGCGAGGAATAGCTACACGTCAGAGGAGGTTACCTCTAGCATTCGCAGTCGGGGCAACCACTTGCTTGGTGGTTGAATGATGAGGAGTTGAATTATCGGAGTGGATTCGGGGTATGAGATGGTTCGTATCGCTCTTGAAATTAATCAGGGGGGCGCGTGGATTGTGGATTGGAGAGCAGACGGAAGAAAAAGAAGAGAAGAAGATCGTCCCCAGGAAAGGGAGAAACCCTAAGCCAGGCTCTGTTTTCCTTAGTTTAAAGAGACTCCATTCACCGCGAAGAGATCGATGAGGCCAATAACGAGTGGAACAAGTGGAACAAATGAGCGGAGAGCTGGATTTGGGGCTAAGGGGAAGTGAGACCACCGCAGCAAAAAGGCAAAATGCAAGATGGCGGAGGTCGAACGGGATGATGAGAATACAATGGGCGTGTAACGATCGTGGAAGATTTCGGCGGTGCTCGTTTCAAGAAAGCTTATTTTCCTCGGAATACAATCTTGTTGGGGTTCGTGCTGCGATTCGGATGTTTTCACCCCCAACTTCTCGATTGAGTCGCGATGGGAAAGAAATCTAAATTGCCAGGTCGGCGGAAGGCGGATTGGAAGGAAGACAGCACATAAAGTGACTGGGCAGTGAGTGGAAGGCGCGAAGCAGGGAAAACACAGCGGGAGACCGAAGTACCAAGGCACGATCAGATTGATCGGGATTGAGCAGATGTTTTTGAGGGGGTTGGTTGGACAGTGCTCAGGTCCCCCAGGTCCCCCAAGTCTTCCTAGGCGTCGAATCCCCTGGCGGAACAGGACACACCAACAAATGGGACTGGACTTTGGCAGTGGGGTGTTGTAAGACCTCGCATCAATCAATAATAATACTTTGTACGTGCGAAGTACGAAGTAGTGTAGTCAGTGTACGTACATTGATCCATCGATCCATTCCGATAAGACAGAGTCAGTGTACAATTGATTGTATCCTCTGGAACGAGGATACTTCAATTTAGCACTTTAATGCTTGCAACTTGTGAATTCTGTACCTATATGTTCGTATTGCCTCAATTTTGTATTATTAGATGTGAACATTGAAGAAATCTCGAATATCGGACTCCCTGGAATAACCAGTCGTACATTGACTTTGAGGAACAGCTCATTCAACACGACAGGATTGTATGTACTTGTAGTGTACGAAGTATACGAAGTGTATTCGCCAATACCCTCCCAGTGTTTCAGAGTTACATCCCCAGATCGCTGTGCAGCCTTGATGTGCAGTTGAACAATAACACTACTGTACTCCGCTGCGCTTCCGGCTGCCGAACAACACCAAATCATGCGTTTGTCCCAGGGACCCAAGGATCAACACTGGCCAAAATGATCTCAACATCAATCGATGGAGAAGCGGTATAAAGTGTCATACATAAGCGCAGCTACGAACTTCTCCATCGTCATCTTGATCCATGATCTCCGTCTCTCGAATGACGAATCTCACAGGCAAATCAGAGACATCAGTTGACACCAGCCGGACTAGGCTGGGACCCCGAATGAGCTCGTTTAATGTTCATTTACCTGTGTATTGATACCACCAAGGAACCAACCAGGGTAGAAACACCCTATTCTCAAATAACATTGGCTTTTTCGTCTGCTCACCCGACTCGAGATTTTCAACTCGGTTCCACTTAGGATAGCCCCATGTGAAGTCCAGATTCTTCAACATCTCTAATCTCTATGCAAGTTCCTGCCGACCACAACACATTTGCTTCTTCGCAATCATAGTGTCTTTCTTTTTTCTCCGTTACCGTGGGGCCGGGCCCATATGGCTCGAAGGCTGAGCCATGTTTGATTCACTCAATCTCAATGCGGACCATACATCTCTCGCCAACGGTCCCTCTGGTGACAGCTCCTTGGAGCAGCGAGAAGCCTTCAAACCCCCCCAAATACTTTGTCGACATCAATACAGCAGAAGGTCGTCCTGCTATGAACACCGCAATTCCCATTCAAGTGGTTTTCCTGACGATCCCCAAGTACGTAGTGACGTACCTGTGGTCAAGGAGGAAAAAAGGGGGAAGGCAACACCCGTCCAATCTTTGGTACCATTACAGTGCGAAGTACCACCCTCCGAGGTACTTTGTATCGAGGTGTCAAAATGGAGTGTCGGCAGCCCCTTCCATGCGATGCAGGGAAATCCGTTCATCCTGTGGAAGGAGCATCCCGAGTCCCCTGAAATTGGAAATTTCTGGCTGCTTCGTGCCTTCTGTTGGGATCTTCGAAACATACTTTGTGTGGACTGGTCATTTTGCTGTAATTGCTTGATGTTTCCTGTGGCCGGGAAGGGATAAGCCTGATGTGCCTATGCCAGGGTTCAAGGTCACAATGGCAGTTGCATCGGGGAATTGTACTAGGGTCTGCACCCCTCAACTGACAACGGTGGTCACAACTTGTCATCTCGCCCACTTAACCCACTGCGACGCCATTATGCGAATGCTTCGTACGTGTCGACTAATGTTATCAGCGAGTAATTACTCCGTCATAGTATTTCGTCTAATTACCCCACCACTCTCAAAAAATAGCACCTCTTTTTTTGTGATATTACCGGATCCAGCGCAATGGGAAACGACGGTGGGAGGGTCATCGTTTGGAAGGAGCCCCTGGTCGAGTGGCGAGGCTTTCTCCATCACACTGTGCAGGAACATTGACAGCTTCGGTCTTACTTGGTACTCCTCTGGGCTTTCGTTTGGAAAGTTTCCCGGTTCGAGTGACCCAAGGAATCAATCTCCCATCGACAATGCCATTCCGCCCTATCATCGCAAAGAGACAGCTCCGGCTCGTATTCCCGGACCCTTTCTCACGGACTGCCCTCCTTTGCGGGCCAATCTATTTTACCCCGCCTCACCTCTCCTTCTCCTGGATAAGGGCCCAAGGGGATAACGCAAGAGGTTGGTCAGTCAAGAGCCGCCTGCTATAAGAGGCGCTATTATAACAGCCGCCGTTTAAGCCAATGCCAATACCGTCATGGCTCCACTCCCGACTACATGGATCATGGATGACATCGGATCCCATCCCGTCTCCTCGCCTGTCCAAATCTTGAAGCTCGACGCCGTTGCCCAGCAAGTGCTGTCAATTGGACGACGCAAGAGTATCATGTTGGCATTGGTTGTGCGTCGTCCTGGCCTGAACATTGAATCGAATCCTCCATGAGGTGCGGTCGGCCCTCGATATTGAATGGCACAACTGATTAAGAGCGAAGGGATGGGATGCCACCCAGCGCTGAGACGGGTGAAGAGAGCCGGTGCTGTGCCGGCTTTCCTAACATCCCGCCTCCACCTCTAACCCCAAGGTGATTTATTTCATCTAAACTGCACAACGTAGCAGCTGGTTGAGGTACTCTTACCTGAGAGTCAACCCGCTAACAACCATCAAGCAGACGTGGCCATGAAATATCGAAACGTTTAAAGAAGCTAGAGCCGATGTGGGGGTGGGAGCGGCATCAAAACGCCCCCAAAGTCTATTTTTGCCGCGCGCTTCTCAACATCAAGGATCAACCATGAGAGAACAAAAGGTTATACGCACTAACCCATCTTAGCTCCCAGTCCAACGACAAAGAAGCACACAGATGGGAGATGACTACAACGTGGCCAGATGTTGAACTTGGAGAGATACAGCACGCATGAAACAGCGCAATAAGATGCCATATCTCGTGGAGTCCATCCCACACCAATATGAACGCCGTATTCAAGAACGTCGTCAGGAATTCAGACTCTTCGAGACTCCCGATAAACACACGTCGTCAAGCAAATGAACAAAGCGAACTGTGAACAGTGGCCTATTGTCTTGTGGCTTGTTTTATTTCATACTGGCTTCTCTTTGTACCCCTATGCTGCTCAGAGCATCTTCACTCATAACAGCTTCAACAACCCATCACACTAGACAGCACTTAGATGAAGCCATGCCTTACATCTCAACATACTTCTTTGACTCTGTTCACATAGGGATAATATGTCCACTTTCCATGTATCAACCACTTGTTCAATAATGATCCGTCCGATGAGCATCTTGGAGAAGCATGTGCTTCTTGCTAACTTAGTCTCAACATCACCCCAACTTACAAACTAGCCTTCCTCGACTCCCCAAACTAGACATAATAACTCATCGAGAGCTCACCTGGCTTCAACGATGCCATCCTGTTCTTACCTGCCATTCCTCTTTGCTCCCTGGACCTTCCTTTCTTTGCCCAGCTATCAATTTCTCCTTTCTCCTTTCTCCAAACTCAACCAGGACTATGAAACTGGCATATGGACCATCCAAACTGTCCATGACTTCGAAAAGTCCTGCTCAGCGTTTCATCCCCGAGCCTCGACATCGACCACCGTTTAGAAAATTACCTCCCGAAGCGATGCGCCGTCTTCTCTGGTTGAAACAGTAACTCTAGCCACCATTTCCCTCCCTTTTAGTGCCCCTAACTAACGTGCCATCCTAGCCTCAACGCGTACTACCCAATGCTGGGCCCAATCGAAGGGGAATCCCACATGCCTAATGCAGCGGACTCTGCGGGCCGCACATTAGGCCGCCATAAACGCTCAGACGATACAGAGATTCCGGTCGTGTTCGAGTGGATTCCTTCCGTCCCCGAGGGACTCATCATCTCCCTCACGCAGTCGCGCACCGAACTCGCGACCAACCGAATCTGCCAGCGCCCGGACGAGGTGCGCACTCTTCGCCTTTTGGGCTATTTCCTTACCGATGGCCCACGCGCCGCGCTCATATACGACTTGAACTACGTCCCGACCAACCTTCGCGATGTAATCCAACAAATCACCAAGCCCTGCGCCAATGACCGCCGCAAACTGGCCAAGCTTGTCGTCAATCAAGTTCGGTCTCTCCACGTCCACTTCCGCAACAAGCATCTCGCGCTGCGCACCAGCAGCTTCGTGTTCCTTCGTTCGCGGGTCACCAATCCGGCCGAGAGGCCTATTCACGGCCTGGATCTCGACAAGCCGTTGCTTCTTGACTGGGGTCGGGCCGACCTTCCCGGTATCTACCAGCACCCCAAGTTCAGCGCCGCCGCCAAGCTCTAGTACTTCGACATTTGGTCCATGCTCATCATCATGTCTGAAATCATTAACTGGGAGGTAAATGAATACCCCGGTGAGCTCAACAAGGACCAGTGGATGGAACTCAAGATGGCCAAAAAGGCGGAGCTTGGTGATCCTATCCTGAACGGAATGGCGCTCTCTGAACTCTATAGATGGGCTTTTGAGTTCCTGGATCAGAAGTCGCGTATTCTCGATGACATTCCGTTCTGTGGAATTAAGCGATTCTTTGATGTGCTCTGCCACCGCCTCGATGATCCTAACCTTGTGTAAGGATGCTCCGGGGGACGATGATATACTCCACGATCTTTCGTGGTTGAAGAGAGAGCAACGAGGCTTTCTAGACGTATACCCACTAAATTGTTTCTCGATTCGACGATGCCGAATGGTGTGGATTGATTGATTTCGAAGGCGATGATCTTTTTTTTTTTTTTTTTTTTTTTTTTTTTTTTTTCGCAAAAAGTTGATTTCGAGATTGATTTTCTTCTCTCTTTTTATGCGGTAGATACCCCTTTCGCGGAGGCATCATTGCGCACATTTTTCGTCGTTTACAACCAAAAGTCAAAGATGATTTTCATAAAATCCGTAGTGTTCCTCGTCCTTTCTTACATTATGATGTTGGTGTATGTCTCCCGGCGCTGAATATTTGTTGGATTTTAACTTCGAATCCTTCCATCCCACCCCACGTCTTCAGCTTCTCCCTTTCGTGTCCCTTGAATAATTGCGAAACTGTAAATAGATATTCGCTCGAGGCAAACAAAGCTAATTGAGCTTAATTCCCCTGTTGCCTAGAGTCCCTGTGTTGTCTTCCTCAAGCTAGGACCATTCTATCAAATGGCAATATGAGTCAAGGGACGGAAGCAATTGCGCCGATTCCTACCTCCATCGCAAGTCAAATATCATCGCCGCCTTTTTCTTCTCCTCCTTCTCTATTTCCTCCAATTCAACTAGATATATGTGAGGAATTGTTCTGCGATTATATTTGATAGGTTCTCACATCTCGTCTGTCGCGTCACGACGGTGTTTTTTGCAAAACGAGTGTATCTATGACAATCTGGCCACGACTGAAAGCAAGGAAGCAAGAGGGATACGGCCAGTTCAGATCGTGGGAGGATGGAACAGACAAGTCCTGCTACACGCCGGACTCGCTTCGTGTGCATCTCGGACACTCACAATGCCAATGTCGCGCTTCCGAAAGGTGATGTTCTCATCCATGCTGGAGATCTGACGAATAGGGGAAGCTATGACGAGGTAAGCTTGAGTATCAACGGCATGCCTCATCATCGTGCGGCCTGCTTCTCTCTTGGTCCTGGGCCTTGAGGCAGGGCCGTTCTTGTTGGAGAGAATGAGAACTGACTGTCCTCGTGTAAGCTCTCCAAAGCGGTAGCATGGCTAGAGAAAGCAGACTTTGAATGCAAGATAGTTATAGCAGGTATCTCCTATCACCTATTTTCATCATCCTAGTTCTCGAGCTCAATCCCTAACCTCTCCCCCCAGGAAACCATGAAATCACCCTCGATGAACCGTACTACAACAACATCAAGGCATCATATCCACCAAGCTTGATCGAATCCAGCCCCAAATGCCTCTCCCTCTTAACCTCCTCCCCGTCCATAACCTATCTTAGCCACACATCCGCCACAATCAAGCTCACTTCGCCCACCGGCCCCCTCACAACCTTCACCGTCTTCGGATCCCCCTCCAGCCCGAAACGTGGTCCCGACATCATCGACTTCTCCGCCTTCACGTATCCTCCCTCCGAAGATCCCGCCACACCTACCTTATGGGACGCCATACCCGCCAACATAGACATCGTGGTAACTCACACGCCACCCCGCCACCACTTAGACACGGTCCCCAACAACGGAAACCCAGTCCCGTTCGGCTGCGAATCCCTCCGCCGAGCCCTCTGGCGTGTCCGGCCCCGACTGGCCGTCTGCGGCCACGTCCACTTCGGACGAGGGGCCGAATACGTATCCTGGGGCCACGAGGAAGGTGAGGAGCTGTCTACGGAGAAGTGGATCGATCCCGCGCCCGAGGGGAAGAAGAACAGTCTCGTGGACTTGGTGAAAGGATTAGGGTCGGAGCAACGTGGTCGTGGTCGGGAGGGGACATGTGTTGTTAATGCGGCGATCATGACGGAGAGTTATTTTCAGCGGAAGGGGCACAGGAAGATGAGTAAACCTATTGTGGTGGATTTGGAGCTCCCTGTATGGACGTGATGGAGGACCCGACTCCTTGGGCATGGGGGCATGAATTCTGTTCGGCGGTTACTGATTAAGACAAGAGTATGCGAACCCGAAATCTGTAAATGTGTTCTCGCCAGGGAAGCTTCCCGAGCAAAAGGCGCCACGTCTAGATGTTTAGACACATGCCCACATTGCCATCAAGCTGGACCCGGAGCAACGGGGCCGCAACGGGACCACGGGTCCGACGGAGAGAGAAACAGCTAAGCTCTGTGCTCCCAGCTGGGAATTTAGAACCCAACGTTCTACACGTTTCAATTTTACAAGTGGCGTCTTCCAAGTCGATACTCCTCCAGCGCAAGATCAAGTCTCGTGAGCTCCAGCTCCAACCAGTCTCGTACCCGAATGCGTGCCATCAAGCCTTACATCGCACCCATAGCTCTAGGTACAGCCGAGAAGCGAGACCGAATTAGAGCATTGGAACTCAGCACGAAAGCTATCCCTTGGCGCAGCTTGAAGAAAAGGAAATTCCAAATTTCTATACGACCAGCACATTCAATCTATCGATAAGCAGCTCGGGAGGTTTCTTGGGATCCAGTCATGAGGCACCCGGGACGCTGACGACGCATTTCCCCAGAAAATCGTTTGCTGCTGGTTCCCTTGCCCCAGAAATGCATTGACGAACGCGAGGAATTACCTGCGAATCAGAAGGCTACACACCATCCGAGGAAAATGGGGGTAAGGTGCCTCTGCTCCAATACCTGTTCGAGAAAATGCCTTGGGACCCGGCATTTGCTATTCGATAGCTTCCCCCATTCTGCCCAACCACCGATGTACGAAGTACGGTGATAAACTAAATCCGCCAGAGCTCTCTCGCCAGTTTCCTTCTTTTTTGCTTACTCTGGGCTGGGCGCACTTCTCTTGAGGTGCCTCCCACCCTTTCCAGTCACCCCATTGCCAAGTTTCGATGCATGGGATGATCAGCGGACAAGCCCGAAAGCGGCTCACACCCCCAAACAGATTTACTGGGGGGAAGGTTCGCTTGACGGCGGTCAGGTGGTGTTTTTTACCCATCTTCGACGACTGGTGGCACCAGCTGACAGCCCGGATGACGATTGATCGGTCTCTCTGGGTGTTGCGACTTGTCTTGACATCCAATCAAGATGTAGGTTTGGGCGAGTGGGAGGCAAAAAGAGGGCAGGAAACGGCATTAGGAGTTCTTCCGCAGTTGCTTGGGTGAGTGGGAGCAGAGGTTTCCTGCAAATGCTCTTTTCACAAATGTTACCATTCAGGACTACCAGGCCAAGCGCCAGACCCCCCATCCGAAATAGTTTATCACACTCTTATCACGCGAGGTGCAGGCGATGCCTCTGAAAGAGGGGAAAGGGGAGGCTCTTCCTCCTCCCTCGTGGTGGAATCTGCTGCGTGGAGAATAGCGAAATAGCCGAGACCTCAAATTCAAGTGGCGCCTCCCAAGCCCGCTCCATCACATAAACCGAGCGCTACGACGGTGCTAGCTAAGGCAGTATCTTGCGCTGCCACCAGCTCCTGAAATCCTCAGGATCCCCCGTAAACAGTCCCCATAATACTTCGTACTTCGTACTGCCCACTGCGTTGCGGGTAAAAAGCGGATTGAGGATCAGCCGGACAGGAACCCTGGCCCGAGTCCAAGTCCAAGTCCCACCGCTGCCGCAGTTCCCGCGACCTATCCGCTCTGTTAAAATTCACGACATGTGTAGATCCCCTGGGGTCCGTGAGGGCTGGGAAAAAGGTACAATGTACCGGATGGGCTGGGCTTGGTGGCCCATCTTGCAGAAACATCGCCACGAGTCAACCGAGACAAACCAGGGTCCCTGACTAGTGCCCGGCTTTCCTTCATGCTCGAGGGGGGCATTGAAGCTGGAATAAGCAGTCATGCAATTACAGAGCTCGCACATACGAGGCCCCGCGTACCGCCGGCTGGGGGCTAGGATATCGTCATCGGAGAGACAGCGGCTGAGACACGGAGGCTGGGGTACTTCAACTTCGTCATAGTGATCAGCTCGAGAAGGAACTCGCCGACGCCTCACCTGAGGGTCCTTGTTCCCAGTGGGCATGTCATATCCCCAGTAAGAAGTCATCTATACCTGGGCAGATGGGCTTCGCCAAAAAAATCGCCTTACACCACCACTACCCGTCTATGATTCGAGTTCACAGTATTTACTTCGTACTCCGTACGCATACAAGCAGGTCGTAGCATAAACATCAAATGACTTTGCCCCCATGCTTTAACAGAGTAGCCGAGGCACAGGGCATCCCCCACGCTTGTTGGTTCCCTAGATGCCCACTCACAAGTCATTCATACACGCTAACTAATTTTCAATGTTTCCCTTTCGTTTGTCCCGAGTCCCTTTCGTAATGGCTAACGGTTTCGAAAGGTGGAGACGGATGCCCAAAGTCCCTCTGTACCCCGCGTGCGCGTACAGTGGCACCTGAATAGCCAGCAAGTATACTTTGTAATCTATTTCCACGGTTGGAAAAGCCGAATGGGTTATCAGAATGTCGTAGTCGAATACCCCGTGCCAATCAGCTTTTGCAAATCCAGACACCAGGCGCGATGTGAAAGGAAAGAAAGACGAGCTGCAAGGTCGGTTTGTGCGTGATAGCGTCGAGTGATTTGACTAACGGCGGCACCTATTCAGAAGGGGGGCGAGTGAATCTCAGGGTCCTGCGGGACGTCCGAGCAATCAAGCTGTGACAGAAGCCTCCGTTCGCGGGGTAGGAAGGAAACCATTGATGGACCCTGGGTTCCGAGAGGGATTAGCGCCGGTGTCTATGGTTATTTCGGGAAACTCAATTCGAGGGGTTTGGAATTCCATTATTTTCTCCCTCCCCTTGGAGCTTCATGAACAGAACTTCCAAAACAGTATGACCGAGCTAAACTCCTAGTACCTTTCGATCTGACGTCTTCCGCAGGGAGCCACACTTTTGTCGTCTAGATGTGGAACTGTCTAGTGGCAACTAGAATAGAGTGGCTTGATCTGGCTGAACCGACGTTACGTATCTTCGTAATTGGGCTTGTAAGACCTGACGAATGCTGAGTCCACCGCCACGCTCAGCCCGGCGTTCGCCTCATGGACCATCGACTCGTCCCGAGCAATTCGCTGGAGAGCAGAAGGAATTAATGCAAATGAAGCTGGGTTATTGCTTCGTAAAAAAAAGAAACCCCAGCCGTGTCAAGGCGGAAGGAATGTATGAGGCGTACCGCCCAGTCTTACCGCGTGGGAAAAGGTTCCTGCTGTATAACACCAACAGGATGCCAGTCAGATCTCACCTCTTCCTTGAAGGGCGAGCACAAATGTGCGTTGGTTGCAAGGCACATGGCTTGCCCTGGATCTCGAAGCGCCCTGCTTACCTTCTCTGTCGTGTTCTTTCGCAGGAATTCCATGCTGCCCACCATCAAGCTTGTACACTCTGGAGGAGCACTTTCGACTTGGCGATAGAACGGATGGATAAGAGGTGGGGGTATGTACGAAAGTTGATTGGCGTACCACTCGCTTGTTCGAACTGGAACCCATCCGTTTCCCACGATCTTTTGACCCATGTCTTACTTCCTTCTCGATGAATCTTCAGTCCCGAGCCTAAGAGCCTCCAAAACAGTGCAGATATTCATTACACACAGTGAACCTTATGGGATTGACTTCGTACTTCGTAATATGGTATTATTATTACTTCGTAGTGTTATTTGCAGGTACTTTGAAAGAGGAGGTCAGTCTCAAGATTCACAAGTACAGTGCCGTTTCCTGATCGGCAGCTTCCAATACCATCTGAAGATGTGCAAGAGTGTGGAGGGAACGAGTCTCATCCCGCATGGCGTGGCTGAGCTTTCCGCGGGATCCTACTGGTTCCTTGGCTATATCCAGCCTGTGATTCGTCTACCTTGCGTCCCCAACTGTACCTGTGTGTGTATCGCACAGCGAATCGATTCAAGTCGTATTGCCCCTCCCTTCGTCTCTGCGCCGCTCTTTCCCTGAGAAGGGGACGAGTAAGAGGTACGTACTTCGCACTTCGTGCACTACCATTGTTCTTCGACCCAGAGTGGGCTCCGCTCCGCATGTCAGTGACGTACTACCTTAAGCGAATCACCGTCGACCATCACCGCGAAGGGCGCTTTCCATAGAAGGAAAAAGAAGAACTCTGAAAGGGGCTCGGGGTGATAGTGACAGGCGCTAGTGACCTTTTTTTCGAGCGCTTTTAGCGTCGATTGCTACTCTTGTGGTCAAGCGATGTCACTAGTGAGTTTCAATGGTGAGGCCATTGAGTCCAAAGTGTGAAGAATATCGATAGATCAGGCTTCGCATTCCTGAATGGCTATTCCTAATCTGCATTGTATCGCCTCCCGAGCCTGCTCGTCGAGTCGTACCCGCTCCGGACTACAGAAGGCTCCAAAAAAGAATGGGGCTTGCTGGCCTGTTAGCATTCCTGGACGGGTGCTGTTTTAGCATTGCCGGGTAGGTAAACTGTAGGTCCTTCATGCTAGTGTATGGAGCGGTCATTGAGACGCTGGATTAAGGTAGCGCCCAGGTAGACCTAGCGTGGGGGGGAGAGAGGCGAACTTGGGGTCATTGGACAACGTCTTTCGCTCAGGTGATACAGATGATTTTGAAGTCGGTAGACGGACTTAGGGCCTCAGGCACAGGTTGTTCACCCAGCCGGCGGTTGGCTCACAACCGATACCTCTTGAAAGGGGAAGAGAAGAGCACAACGCTGTCGATCTGACTGGCTCATTCAGGTCACAATACTGGTCCACGATTTCGGAGAAACAGACAATCAATCTGAGGTGGTGGAGGGTCTTGACTGGCCCTGAGGAAGCGGGGCGGGCGAGTTCGGCGGAGGGGGCGCCATGCACGTCTCGCAAAAAGGGAACAACTATCACGAGTGGCATCCGATAATGATACACGTCCCCTTTCCAGGGCGAATTGGCAGTCCATTGGCCTTGGCCTAGCGGGTTGAGCTGCATTCGGAGGCACGGAGGAGAGCTTTCTTTGGAGGTGCGT